CATATTTCCTCCAAAAATCAGCTGTTACACGTTGATGTACTATAAACCCAACACATCATTCCTCAAACTCCACGTCTACCTGATACGACAGGATCCTGCTCTGGAACAGGTAACTGAACATCTTAATGATGTAAATGTGAAACAGGACAAGATTCAAAGGATTAGGTATAGGACGGGCAAAGGGAAAACACATCAAGTTCATTGTGTTCATACTGAAAATAAACAAAACAACTTAAGATTAAGATTTAGACAGGACACTGATCAATAGTTTGCATCATAATGACTTTGATGAGTGAAACATGATAAATAGATAAGATAAAAATTATCCTGACAGTTCCCAAATTGCTCGTGGAGTTATTATTAGTGACTTTCAATTCAACATTTATTTGTACTTGTTGGCTGCTCTTCCTGTTTACTCTTTAATCTTCTGTTATTATCAGGATTTCTCAGTGTTTCCTCTCACTTTTCATTCTGTGATTAACAGGATTTTTCTGCAGATTTGTTTTTCTGTTTGATCCTGATACAAACCATCTGGCAAAAGTGTTGCTTGATCATTAATGTACTTTAAAACACAGCTGACAATGTTGCTTTAAACGTCCATGTAAAACTTTTTTTAAACAGATAATGGACAAGAAAGAATCCTCACATGGATTTAAAAAAATCCCAAAACCACACCCAGACAAGTACCTGCAAACTGAGCGTACTTTCAGCCTCAGAGCCGACATGGAAACAGCAGAAATTCAACCAAAGGTACAGTTTGTAAAATTTGTGCTGGATGGAAACCTGCTGAGAAAACATGACTTCTGACCCAGCTCAGGATTTTTTGCCAAAGATTCCTCTGCAGTGAAAGATCCACATGCTGTGAAACTTTCAGATCTTTTAACAACATTTTCAGAACAATATCAGAACAGAATCCTGAACAACTTAGAGGGATGAAAAAGAAAAGCAGATAACATATGTATGTATTACAGACACAAACACTTGTCCGGGATTAGATCATTAAATAAAACTCTGTTATTTTGATGCAGTTCCAATTCACTAATTTATTGTACAATCACTCCCAGAAACAAAGATGTGTATATTGCATGTAGGTGGTGCCATGATATTACTCTATGATTTGCTGAGTCAGTATTTCATGGCTGGAAGGAATACAAAGCAGCAGCATGTGGAAAATCAGCTCATAAATAATGTTACATAGTTCCTTACTGTCAGATGTAAAGGTGTGTGTGTGTGTGTGTATGTGTGTGTGTGTTTAAACACAGGAGTTAACCTTCAGATATAACAGTCTGAACTTCTATGAAGTGTTTATTGAGAATCCAGGCAGACAGTTTCACCTTACACTCCTACACTCAAATGATGGTGATCCAGTGGATGGACCAGTTTGGATATGCAAAATTCAAAAAGGTCAGTGTTCATTAAACAACACAATCTACACTGTCATGATATGCAATCTGTTTTATTTCATAAAGTAAGTAAAAAATGAAAGTGAGTTGTCACTTTGCATGTGCCACAAACTAGCAATGGACAACAATGTACTTATTTATGAGTTTAGTTGCTATTAATGATAATTAAATATTAATTATAGTCATTGGAATGCCAATCAAATCAACAGACCACTTCATGTGCTGCCTTGATTTTATTCAGCAGCTGTTATTAAGCCGTTTGTGGTAAATACAGCATGCGAATGATAATAATCATATTCTGACTTTCTTTTGATTCCAGATGACCATCCATTGTCAGGTCACACTGAAGGTAGGAAAATTAGAAAAAAGAGTTTATTTAATGTTTTCCAAGTCCCAGGTTATCCACCATTGATCACGGCCATCACTGATCAGTGGTCATTAATAATCATATAACTGACCTCACAGTCAATTGTTCCCCAGTGTCAATAGTTTCAGTCATTATCCAAATGTACTGTGAAACCTGAATCAACTGAGAATGAAGAAGTCACCTGGATGAGTGACGAAACGTTTCTTCCATTGAAAACGATACGTCCAGATGAACAACTTTCTGGGATTTTGAGATAAAGATGCAAGTTCAAAGAACCAGAAAAAAATATGACAAAACAACATGTGGGAGCCACTTAATAAAAGCAAGCTATCTGGCAAAGCCTGGAGACTCCAACTGGTGTTTTAAGTACCGGTAGTTGATTGCAGCTAGTAAGCGAGAGTGGGGCTGGCTGTCAAGTGTCAAGGGAGGAGGGAGCCTGCCATTCCCACAACCTGGACTCAAGAGGTACTAAAAACAAACCAAAATAAAACAGCACAGAAAAAGGAAAGAACAGAGTCCAGAACAGTTCATATGATACAGTTTTATGTATTTATGTTCAGTTTAGAAGTTCATCTAAAATGATGACTGCAGCTTCCTGTTTGTCTTGATGCTTGTTCAATCATTAGGTAAGGAAATCCCAGAAAGTTGAGTCTGTTTGTCTGGATGGTGTGTTTTCTGGGGGGGAAAAAAGTCTTAATTTGATCAATACCTTGACTGCTGATTGGTGGCAAAGTGTCTAACATTTTCATGCAAAGTCTGGTTGTGGGTCTTTTTATAGTTCCTTCCTGTTCAGAGAAATACTCTGGAGATGAACACCTGTCTGCACAGGGAGGGAAAGTAAGTAACATCAATTTATTCTGACTTTACACAAAAAGGCTTCATTTAATAACCCTGCATTTTAAAATGCAATACTTTAAAACTGTAAATGTTAAAATAAATTGAATGTTTTCACACTCAATAATAAACTGATCGTTAATATTTAATTGTATCCCTTTTTCAGGCATCGTGCAAGTCAGACAGAAAGAGGCACTTTGGAATGTCGAAAGATCTGGAAGTGAAAGATCCTAAACAGTTGAAGGAGCTCCCGAGGGTCCGTGAAGCTGGGGCAAGAATGCCAAAGGTCTGTCTGCACAGCAAAGCTTTCATTTACTAAGATGTAGACTGATAATTCAGTAATTTAAACTGATTATAAAACACCTCACAAGTAATTTGGGCTTCATTTGTGGATAACTGATTAATATCAACCTGTATTTGTTTTGCCTCTTATTTTCAGGCATTAACAGTCCAAACAGACAGAGAGAAGCTTTTTGGAATGTTGGAAGATCTGAAACAGGAGGAGCTTGAAAAGTTCAAGTGGTTCCTGCGGGACCGTGATGTTTTGGTGGAGTTCCAACCCATCCCAGAGAGCAAACTGGAAAAGACCAGCACCTGTAACCTGGTGGATCTGATGTTCGGGGCCTACACCCAACATACTGTGGAGGTGACCAAGATGGTTTTTACGAAAATGAACAGGAATGATCTGGTGAAGAAGTTGTCAGACACAAGCTCGTGATTCAAAGGTAAGAAAATAAATGGCATTTTTTTATGTATATTTATATTTTAAGTTTTTATTTTGAAAATGTTTGTATGTATATTGTATTTTTAATCAAAATCATTTTGATTGTCAAACATGTACCTTATGAATTCATTTTAAATACAGTACATGATTGTAGCACAAACAGCACTTTGATGTTAAATGACAGGAAATCATTGAATGATCACTGACTGTACCTGTTAAATGTTATACGTAATGTCTCGGTGTTACTGATGTACAGTATTTCAATTCAATTTTATTTATACAGCTCCAATCACAACAACAGTCGCCTCAAGGAGCTTTATATTTTAAGGTAGATCCTACAATACATACAGAGAAACACCCAACAATCAAATGACCCCCTATGAGCAAGCACTTTGGCGACAGTGGGAAGGAAAAACTCCCTTTTAACAGGAAGAAACCTCCGGCAGAACCAGGCTC